CTGACCTTTCCAGTGATTAAAAATTTCACTAGAAACCCAAAACCTTAGAGTGGAATTTTCACTGTTGTGTATGCATAACTGTAATCAGAGCTCCATCTGTTTGTCGAATAGCATTCATTTTTCCTGTCGAGGATATTTATTAATAAAACCTGCAAATAGTATGAGATGGATCATTTAAAAAAAACATTCATGCACTTAGGAAACAAGATGCTTTCAAAAGTGTGCGTTTTTCTTTAACAAAACATTTTATCTAAGCATGACAATGCAACACATGGTTAACTGAAAATATCACTTAGGCTTAGAAGTGAAATAGAATTTATGCAGCTAAAAGGTCAAATTTTTAATTTTCAGGACAAACTGTGCTGATCAGCTTATAAAGAATGTAGTCGAACAAGCTTCTTTTTAGACTACTGCAGAGTTAAACACACTCTTCACTAACTATACTGAAGACCAAAAGCAGCACCTGTGTATGTAAAATACATATATGTTTATCCAACTGAATAGAGCAGTGGCTCTGAGTGCAGATTCCTGGAAAGTGTGGCGTGCTGCTTTCAGCGGTAAAGATCTGGCTTAAAAGCGCCTGCTGCCACTATAGCTCCTAGTTAAAAATTAATAGGTTTCTCAGACTCAGAAAACCCCTGATAGCACACTGACATCTTCTGGTTTTACTGTTTACAGTATATGACATAACAACATCCAGTAATGTGATGGGAAGTGTAATAACCAGCTGGGAGATTGGTTTTAAAGCTCAGCTGACTTAATGGCATATGGTTTACAAAGCAAACATTTCAGCAGATTTTACAGGTTGGATTGTGCCACTCAGAAAAGCTTTTGGTAGCTCCTGATCCATTTTCAGTTTGAACTATAGACTCAGCTGGGCTGCAAAGACCTGCAATCCCTTCGTAGTTGTTTTGATGGAAATACGAGTTTTGTGTTTCTATAATACATGGCCCAATACCTGGGCTTTTGTGTTACTGTAAAACAGAGAAACATCTCATTTCTGACAAAGAAACCTATAAAATCCCACACAAACAGCCTTTTCAACAATACTGCTCAGACGATGTGTTTCCAGGTGCTGCGAGGAGGCTGATACTGTTCAACACTTTTGTATTTAGTGTTGACTCAGCTGTGAAAAACCCTGTAATAAATGAGAATTACCAGTGATTCCCCTTGCTGAATGATAGGACTTGAGGGGATTTCCACAAAACTATCTATAGTGAAAAGAGCAGAAGACTTGGTTTTATAACAATATCTGGTTGCAACTCCATTAGGACCTTGATACATGTTGGTGCCACCCATATGAAAATGTATCTATCGATGTGCAATGAATAAAAGCATCCAACAAAAACATTACCCGTGCCTTTGGCAAAGGTAATAAAGACTTATTAGCAATTCATGTGAACTTTAAAATGGCATGAAATGGACACTCTAATGTCCTGGAAACGTCCATTGCATTCTCAGTGTTGACTCCGTGCTGCACTGGATGTAAGCAGGAATTCCAACCAAAAGTAATCACAAATCTTTTATTAACTCCACCTTTCTATCCACAACATGAAATATACGGTAACTGCTGTTTTTTCTTTTAAGAGAACTAAAATCACAGTGGTTTACATCAACATTAGTGTGCAATTATACTATTTCATTATATGTTAAATGTTATATTTGAATAGTGTGAAAGCATTGTGATGAGTACAACACATACATGTACTATGATTATATATTTTCAATAAGTTAAGACATCTTTAAACTGACCACACTATACAGTAGAATGTCTAAATCCATTTGAATGTGACATTCTAACATAAAGAAATTCACTGTAACGTTAACAGTAGAATTAAAAGTACAAAGACGTGGGTTGTTTGTACAGAATTTTCAGTGATTTGCACTTACTGGGATCACAAGAAGTGATTTTATAGTAGCTGTAGGAAACATCTGTCTCCCTAAGAACCGCACATCACGATTGTAAATGCAGAACAGAGGAAGTGCACTGGCATAATCTGAAGTGTGTGAAAACAGTTGCCTAGTTACCTTCATGTACCAGGATGTCTTTGCCCAGCTAATGCATGCTTACAATTTCAAGTAATGAGCTGGAACTGATAACAAATACATTTAGAAATTCATTATACTTCAATATTATGAATTCCATTCTCTCCCATACAGCTTTCATTTGCATCAAAGCCTTTTCAGTGTTCTCTGGTTTCTCTAAAATGGAAAGAAAGTGTTTTCTTACCCAGAAATGCAAACGATCCCCTTCCTCTACCATATCTCACTTGTCTTTTCTTTTTACGGCTTCTTACATCAATGAGTCTGTTCAAACCAGTTCTTTATCTTGTTTTTTGTTTTACCAGGTCTTACACGGTGCCAAAAAATATAACACACCTTAAAATGTCACTGTAAACACATTTGATCAGTGCTGTCACTGGTCTGTTCTTTACGCCACCTTTTTTGTTCTCAGGGTAATAACTGCTATAGACCCAGAGTGATGAGCGTTAATGTACGTAAATCTCCTGTAATTTCTTTTTCACCCCCCATTGCAGTCATTTACATGTCCATTGAAAATGGCCATTTGATGGTGTTGTCATAATGTTGTCAGGACAAAGCATTGTGATGCCTATTACTGATAGATCAATTAGGAACTTCCTTTGTTCATTAATGAGAAACAGGTTCACGTTTACTGACTGAACAGATGATCATTATAGGAAATTTTATAACACTCCTCAACTGTATTTTAATAATTGAGTGTCATGTATACATACACATCATAAATGACTAAATCAAGATAGACAAATCCTTTCAAAAGCCAATTTTGATCTTGACCTTCAATATCAAATAACTTTCATCAAATTACCTGATTAAAATGGGTCAAAATCTCCCATGATGTCAGTGTTGCTGTGAGTGATTGTTGTTTCAAGGCCATGACATCACTGTCTGGTAATCACCAAATTGATAAACACTACTGCACATTCAGCATTGAGCTTTGCGTCAGATTAGTGGAAGTGAGCAGGCTATACAATATCATCTGCTTGCGTCATTAGTTGGTGTGAGAACACATCACCTACAATGAAATCAGATCTGACTGACACAGACACATGCACTTACTGTAAATCCACCAACTGGCAATGCCTAATGACGCTCCAAACTCACCAGAGTCTGCAGCATTTAATTAAAGTAAGACATCTTAACATTCATGTGAAAATAAATTAAATTTGTTTATTTAAAATAATGATGGTGACTGGCAAAACTAAAAACAAACAAATGAAAACAGCTATTTTATATTTTGATTACTCAGAATATTCGGTATGAAAAATATATCCCATGTTATTGACATTTCCAGTGTCACACTGAACATTCTGTGTCTGACTTGTCAGTTACAGCATCTATTTAACAATCACACAAAACCAACTTGATGCGACCGCCTAACATATTGTTATCTGTATAGACATTCACAGTTTACGATAAGGCCGGGAACAAATCATGCTCTGTCTGCACGTAGCAACTCATCACTTAGCCTGTGCACCTGCTCTGTGTTACACCACCCACTCTGTCACCTCAGGCACTGTGTGGAGCTGAGTCCAAGCGTGACGTATTTGGTACATAACAACCAAAGAGTAGGTTGGACATCCTCAGATCTGATCAGACTTGTATAAACAGAGCCAAGGTGTCTGAACCCATTCAACCCTGCTTTGTTTTGTAGGTGACAGCACATGAAGCCCCCCCTGAACACTGCTCAGGGAAGAAATAACTGTCTGCTTATTGGCTATCTTAACAGGACATTATTAAGAGGGGCTAATAATAACTCATCATGAGCTCATGTGTAACAAACCAGCTGTGTGTGTTAATTTCTCAGTTGCCCTCTGTGATATGTTTGGTCACACTCAGGGACAGGTACACAGTGATGGTTAATTACATTAAGACAGTTAAAACAAGGCTTGCACAACATTGTCTGAATAGCCATTATACAGTTAGGCAAACAGTCCGCCACGTACAGGTCATGTGGCAGGTGAAAGGAACTGAGAAATAGCTGCATGTGTGTGAGTAATGTTAATTTTAGACCTTCAAAAATAACAGCTACAGGAGCTTTTACAATTCCCTTTTAAGACAAATTATAGTAATGAAGTATATGTAAACTTAATAAAAAAATATACACTGTATGTTTAGGCACATGGAAAGATGACACTATCTCCTTTTTTGTGTGCTTCTCCTCTTCCAGTAGTGCCTTCCACCTCCATGGCAACGAGGCCCAGGGGAAACCATGGAGATCCTGCCTTTCATGTGCGAGATGCTTTTATTTCAACACACAAGTTGATAGAGGCTGTCCCTGTCTGTTTGATTCAGATGTATCTCAGCTATGGTCGCTCTGCTTGTATCCAAAGCCAGCTGTTAATAGATGCATCCAGAATTAAGGTGGGGAGCAAAAAATGCATTAGGTGTTGTGAATACTCCACGTTATTCTCAGACAACCAAAAATATATGTATCAATACTATCTGGGTAGATGAAACACGTTTAAAATAATGTTAATGTTTTTTTTACACTAATTTGATACACATTTGGTACATTCACAGAGCTCTGATACAAAATGCTCCTAACAAAAT